TTAGCGGCCATCTTGGAGGAGGAGCTGCAGGCAGTGGTACTCTTACAAAAGCCAACATTTCAAGCTGCGTTAAAAGCCGAAGAGAAAAAACTGAGTCTTCAGAGCAGATTTAAAAACAGGAAGTGAGTCAGCTTTTCTGACGTGCAGAGGCAGCTCGTTCCACAGTTTAGGGGCAGCGACTGAGAACGCTCGGTCACCTCTCAGCCTCCTGTTGGACTTTGGGACGACCAACAGCAGCTGATCAGCTGACCTAAGAGAGCGTGAGGGATTGTACGGCTGGAGAAGGTCGGACAGGTACTGTGGGGCGAGACCACGAAGACATTTGAAAACAAACAAATGAACCTTAAAATTAATCCGGAAACGAACTGGGAGCCAGTGTAGTGATTTTAGGACAGGGGTGATGTGCTCTTGTTTTCTGGTGCCAGTTAAAAGACGAGCAGCAGCGTTCTGAACCGCTGAAGTCGAGTCAGTAATGACTGGCTCAGGCCCACATAAAGTGAATTGCAATAGTCCAGACCAATGTTCAATAGTGGATGTGGGGACAGACCCATCCCCACAGGACACGATGGTAAGCCAGGGTAGACCAGAGCCACAGACACACAGCGGTCCCCAAGCCCGGAGCTCTGGGAGTCTCCCAACAGGGACAACCGCACCCCCCAGAGAGAGAAGCAAAGGGAAGCCCCGGGTGATCCCCAGCAACCACAATGCAGAAACCCCAGGAGGCTGCAGCGACGAGTCCACAGGTTCCACCAGCAACCCGCCCCTCCAGAGTAGATCCGGCCATGGACACCGAGCCCCAAGTTCCGAGGTCATACCACCACTCCCCACCCCCCAACAGAGCCAGGGCACCCAGGCCCTGGCAGGCAGCCACCAGGGCAGGCCCACACACACCCCACCACCCAGCCCCAGATGCCGAGAGCTGCCAATGCACCAGCGGCAGAAGGGCCCACCACTGGAGGGGAGAGTGACAGGGGGAACTAGACCCCACATTACATGGGGGGCCCAATTTGATCCAAGAGAGGGGACCACCCAAAACCCAACCCGGGACATAAACAGGCACACATGAACAGCCCGACAGACACTCAGACAATAATTCTGAGTGCCTCAATGCTGGACAGGACAAGTGAGAAAAAATAAATAAATAAAGAAGTAAAATATAAAACTACACATCACTTCAAACTAAAATGTGATTTATAAATTGAACTCATGTTGATTCTCAAAATGATAAATTCTTTCGTAACTTTTTTAATTAATGCTCTCCTCAGAGTGTGTATTGTGTATCTGTTACCAAACTTTCTCCTCATCCCAATATTCTAATGAGTTTTACTGAAAATAGTTATTGGACATACAACATATCATGGAGTCAATGGAATTTAAGATGGCTGCCGCGCTTAAAAGTTTTGTTACGTCTTTAAACCAGTGGTTCCTAACTGTGGTCCTTGAGGAACACCAATCATGCATGTTTTACTTGTTACCCTGCTCTGACACACCTGATTTGAATGAGTGAGTGATTAACAGGCTTCTGCAGAACTTGAGGAAGTAATTAAATCACTGAGTCATGCGTATGGGAGCAGAAAACTCCTGAAACATGCAGGATGGTGTTCCTCAGGGACCAGGATTTGGAACAATGGCTTTAAACAACAGAAATAGGAACTTGGTAACTTTAACAGTTTGAGATTTTGGTTTAAAATGAACTATTTGGACTCACCTCTGTGATTGTAGACAAAATATCTCATGAACCACTGCATGGATGTTAATGACATTTTTAGGAAATAATTTATCCACAATCGATGCACTTTTGGAGCTAAATGTAAAATGGCCAACTTACCCTGAAAACAAAACAAACAAAAGAGAAAGGCTAAAACTCAATCGGATTTGCAAATATTGATTTAAATTCTGTGTGGCAGAAGCTGAGAGTAAATCAAAATACATACTCGCATACATTTTTAACACTAACAGTTGGAGCCTGTTTGTCTGTTAGCATCATGTTTCATGAAGATGAAGATGATTTTGATGGAACGTTCAGAGGATAATTCTTGGCTATACATGAAAAACTACAGTCAACTGAATTTTGGCTACAGCAGCTAATCAACATCTGCCATCACAATAATGACTATAGCTCAATGAACATTGCAGCTATTTGGCTAAAACTTGATTTTAAATTAGCCAAGAGTATTTCACTACACACACACCGAGTGTGACATCTTGCAATATCACCAGAGATCGTGTGTATCGTTGTTTTCAAGGTTGATGACGTGTCTGAAACTCAATCATTTTATAAATGACAGGAACAGGAAAGACTGTGAACGTTAATGTTTTTGGAGCAAGATATTCAAGTGGGTAGGAATTACATTGTGTATATGAACCAAGGTCTTTTTTTTTTTTTTGCCTTGTCCGAGACGACGCAGAATGACTGATCGTGGCGAGCTGAGGACAATTTATACCAGACTCAAAAGCAGAGCCAGCGAGAGGTCAATGGTGGCCTCGACCACCCCAGTCATTTGAAAAAACTACACTTTTCAGCAACGTACAAACTAGAATACAGTTTCCTCAAAAGACTGGGGTGTCCGGTTTACCCCCCCCCCTCCCACACACACACACACACACACCCTCCACACATACACACAGGTATGTCTATCTTTACAGGGTCTTTACATTGACATCTCTTCATTTTTTATTAATTTTTATAGTTTAACCCTGACCCTTTTCCTAAATATAACCATTACCAGTACACACCTAACCCTAAACCTAACCCCTAACCCACTAACGACAGTTCTTCTTATGGGGCTTTGGGCCCTGTAAGGAGCAGTTGGTCCTCACAATGTAGTACAGGGGTGCCCAATACGGCGATCGCGATCTACTGGTAGATTGCAAAGGTAATATCAGTAGATTGCACAGCGAAATAGATGTCAGACCTTTTTTTTTATTTATTTTAATTTTATTTTTAAATATACATTAGCCAGTCAGTTCATCTTCACTATGCACATTGTTACTTTATTGACATACAGGTTAGCCAATCTGAGACTGAGGTAACAAATACAAAGACACACACACACACACCATACACCTAAATGCAGCCGCACATCAAGATGGAAGTCAGTGACTTGTTGTTTTTTGTCTAATTGTCACGCTCACAGCAGAGAGACGGACAGACGGACAAAGGGTATATCTAATCCCCCTCTTCACTCTGCGATGGGAAAAAAAAAACAACCACAAAAAACCAGCTGATCACTTGCTGACCCCCCAGGGTTAAAAAAGTCCCATTCAGTAAACTGAACTGCATTTTGAAACCACTGAGTGAGGAGGACCTCCCTTCCCAGTTTAAGGACATGCTTTGCAGAGTTACAGCTTGTGAACGTTTACTTTCTGCTGCAGCTGCTTTGTTTCTGAAGCACGAGCTGAAGGTGTGGAAGGTGCTGAAAGAGCTGCTGCAGATGGCAAACAGGACCTGTGCCTTTCGTTTCCATGACAACCTGCAACAGAAGCTATGGAAACACCAAACAAAGTGGCAACACTGCCTTCTGCTTCAGGTCTTCAGTCAAACTGAAAACAAGATTTTATGAGCAGAACAAATTCTACTCATGTTAAATATGAGTGCAGAGGGCTGCAGTGGAATAAAATAACATCTGCAGGTGACAGCGAGGCGTGATGGACAGCTCTTAAATTCCCAAACGTCTTTCAGACAAGTTTGGGAATGTGGTTTATAAAATACAAACAGAGATTTTTGTCACGAGTGATGCTTGATTGACCTCGGATTTATTCTGCAGCAAAACAGTCATGTCAGGAAGGGAATCTCAGAGCAGAAGTGACCTGTGCTGAGTTTACATCTTAACATCTGGCAGTGTCTCACATTAAATACAGTCTAGTTACCGTATTTTTCAGACTATAAGGTCCTTACTGTAGTGAACTTAACCTGATGTCAAAACTAAGCCTAAGGTCAAAACCCTTGACCTTAAGAACCTTGTGGGACAGAAACTGTCATTTCATTGATTTGAATCCAGAAATACAGGTTCACCCATCCTGAGACTTTCTTTCTTGAAAATCAAGTGAAAGAACACTCTCTTTTCTATTATCATTCCTGTTTTACAAATGTTTGATAATCAAAGTGTTTTAGTTCAAACATTTTAGATGTTGCAGTGAACTAATCAATTTTATTAACTGTAAAACAGTAACAATGATTTTTGAGTTGCTTATGCAAAGTTAGAATTCATGTTAAGGCCTGTTACAGAGTAATCATGCATTTTCTGATTTCTGTCTTTGAATGAGCAAGTGTGCGTTTTCCAAGGTCAGGAGTCGAAGCAGACATGTGTTGGAACAACTGTCTTGTTTACATCCTCTCAGACGTCAACAGAGAAGTTGGCACCTGTTTCTCCAAACTCGCCAAAACAAAACTTCTCTCTGTTCCAATAACATTCTTGCTGTTTTCTGACTTCTAGTAACCTCTTACGTCACAAACCACACCCCTGTCTGGTTGATATTGACCAATCAGGGACTCCCAAATGGACCGGGAATAGAGCTCTTTAAAATGCCGGTACTTCCTAGTTCTCTCAGGTCTGAGAAGTCTGAGAAGTCCTGAGATGTTCGCAGTTCTGTGAAGTCGTTTGGGAGAACAGAAGTCCAGCCATGAAAAGGCTCTTCCTTTGGATTATAACATCTTCCACCTCTGAGTGGAACTTCTGAAGGACTCCACTCATGTGAAGTCCACCCGGTGAGGTGAACTGTTGTCGGACGGAATCTCGTCACTACTTCGGACGAGTCACAGCCATCCTATGGAGACGCTGGACAGGTAGCGTTAACCGGAGCTCCTCTTCTTCTGATCCATCATCAGAGAGGTAATGAGTCAAGTTTTACTACCAAGCGTACCGAGGAAAAGCTGGGTTCGAATGGAGAGTGTCGGTTCTGGTCAACACTCCCCCTCACACACCATCTTTTACTCCCTTTAAACTTCATTTCCATCTTTAAATTCTTCTCTCAAGTAGAAATCCTTCCAGATAATTTAGAAATGTCTGTGTAAAGTGCTCATCCACCGCCGTGTGGATAATTGATCATAATTGTACAGTTTTCATTAATGTCTGTGGTGAAGCAACGGAAAATCATGGCCGTATGGTTTTCCTGGTTGTAAAGCTGATTGATTATGTTGTTATTTTCATATTTTGCCAAATTAATGTAAATGTTTGATGTTAAACTTTGATTCTGTAAAATAAATGACCACATTCATTTTGATGGGTCAAAGATAAATGACGTCTCACGTTACATTTTATTAAATTCAATGCACGTTTTATTCAGTCCAGAAAAATGAAGAATCCGTTTTTAATTGATGAATATATCTCAGCATCTGTTCATCCACATTAAAATACTTGAAATTTCTCAAAAATCAACAGTGAGTCTTATAATCCGGTGCAGTTTATGTAATAATTCTGGTTGTGCTTACTGACCTCGAACCGATTTTACGTGGTCCAACTGAACAATGTTGAGAGTTACTGTGAATGAGTTGAATACATTTGACTCATCTGACTGTTTTGTTTCACTTAATGCGCCTTATAGTCTGAAAAATATGATACATTTACAGAGATGATCTGTGGCTGCGCTTCTTACAAAACATTTGTATAAGATGATCTAAAAAACTGAAGCTGTTTTGCAGAAAACACTTGTCACACCAAATATTGGTTTGATTTAGATTTATTTTCTACTCATTAACTTCACACAGTTCTTCTTTCGGCTGCTCCTGTTAGGGATTATATCAGCTGCCTTACTATCACCTTGTCAGCATCTTTCTTTATGATCTTTCCATTTTACTCCTTTCTAGCAGTTCAATGTTCAAAATCTCCTGGTGAAGTTAAACACCTCTTCAGTGTCACAGCTGGTAGAGCTGTCACCTCCAAACCAAAAGGTTGTGGGACTGAATCCCAGCCTGTAAACTTTCTGTGTAGAGTTTGCATGTTCTTGTCATGTACAGTATGTGTGGATTTTCTCAGGGTACTCTTGTCTCCTCCCAAAAACATGAATGTTAAGTTGTCTGGTAACTCTAAATTGTCTCTAGGTGTGAGTGAGAGAGTGAATGGTTGTTTGTCTCTATGTGTCCCTGTGATGGACTGGAGACCTGTCCAGGGTGTACCCCGCCTCTCTCACAGTGACTGCTGGATATAAGCACCAGTGACCCCCATAGCATATCTCCAAACTGCACAGCCTGAGCTGTCTCACATGTATACCTGGATTATTGAGCATGGACCTTGTTGTCTCACAGATGGACTTCTTTTGAGTTCTGGACTCGTCATCAGCTCTGCTCATTTGTCTCTTCACTGCTTCACCTGTCTTTCTCTCACCGACACAAACAAATCCTGTCTCACTCCTAACTTTCATTTCTCTTCACTCCAGAACTCACCTCCACCTCTCTGGGTTCTCTTCCACCTGTGTTGCACTCTCACTGCAGTTGACAGCGTCAGATCACTGCACTGTTAATTGATTATTATGTCTGTGAACGTGGTTTTACTCTGACAATGTTTTGTCCATCTGTGCCTGAAACTTTAGCAAATTGTTTTTAAAGACGTCTAGACTGAATTGTGTTTACAGTAACTAACAGACAAATTATAACTCGCTGGTTTTCAGGTACAGTGCAGCATTTTTCTTAATATTTACTATTTGTGAGACAGTTGAGGGTACAGAGAAGTCAAGCAGTGTGTGTTTGGCCACACTCACTCTGTGTTGTGTGTGACGCCGGGCTGGTGGGGCTCTGAGCAGGACAGGCTTCCTTTCTGCTTCTCCCTGGATCTCCTCCTTCTCTCCCGCTCCACCTCCTCAGCATCCTCCTGGCTCCGCTGCTCGGTCACCCTGCAGTCAGCATGAACAACAGTTTGCATCCTGCACTTCTTAGCGTGAGGCCTTTCATGAAACAGTTCCCTGAAACTGCTGCAAAGACGAGTGTGTCTGCGCTGCCTCTGGAAGTTCACACATCTCTGGTAGGAGGCGCTGAAGTCCCGACTTGAAGTGTTGGTGAGCTACTGCTAGTCTTTTAAAAGTTAAAAATGATCAATTTTGTCTGATCAATAATTTCAAACTTAAACTTCTTTATACCTTGGCATACATTAAAAACGTATTAGTCTGAGATTTATATAAAAAGAGGCTTTTTCCATGTGTGTCTAGTTAGGTCCTTGTAGTCACTATCAAGTCACACACACACACACTCCACTAAGTTTCTTTAAGTTGATTACTTCTTCAGGAGTCACCACAGTGACATCACATGCAAGATTTACCAATATGTTTTACACCAGATGCCCTTCCTGCCACAACCTGGGCTTGAACCTTCAACCTCAGGATTACAAGACTACAGCACCGACCACCAACCTACCACAGCCCCATGAGCTCACACACTCTGAAAAACACAAAGCAGACATGTTTTCTACCGCCTGTTTGGTTTAATAAACCCTCATCCATTGAGTCGTTCTGATTTCCATTAAATTTACCCTCTATATGTTCAAACAAACAAAAAAATGTCTGACAGTACAAATATCTTTACATGCAAGAGAAATAACCTTGGAGACGTCATTAGTTTCTGTTTAGTTTCCAGTGGGCTGAACTGAGCAACGGTAAGCCATTTTATTGTCCGAGCACATCTGGAGGTGCTTCAGCCAGCTGCTGAGCTGTTTCATTTGATCTCAGCCTCTTGAGAAAAAGACGCATATGGTGGTGGAGGAGGAGGAGGAAGAGGAGGAGGAGCACAGACTGACCAGCAACATCTTTTAAGTCCTGTTCCTTCAAAGTAAAGAGACAACTGGGACAATCTGACTAGAACTGGAAAAGATGACAGTTTTAAGATGGTCCTTCGACAGGATTAGTTGTTGGGCATCAAATGGGTGCAGACATTTGGATCTTCAGGTAAAACAATATTTTTTAAACTGTGAGTCATAAGACACCAGTTTCTGAAATAATCTGCAGAAAGATAATAAAAGTAACAAAATCCATGCTCAATAATCCAGTATAACAAGGGAGAGGTGCCGGCACAAGAGGAGGGGGCGTACCAAAAAGACCATCTTAGCACCAACATAACTGGTTTGTTTCACTTTGGAGTAAGCTGTTGGTGGAAGAATCAGTTTTGTTTTGTGTGTTTCCTTGACTGATGAAGCCTTCTGGATGGAAGGTGAAACGTTTCAGCACAAAAAACAAACAATAAAAGAAACTGTCCAGATGACCTGACTGAAAAATTAAGACGATATTATTGCCTTTTTGCATTAAGCGATACAAGAAATGTTATCCATCCATCATCTTTACCCACTTCTTCCTTTTTGGATCCCGGGGGTCACTGGTGCCCATATCCAGCAGTGACTGTGTGAGAGGTGGGGGACACCCTGGACAGGTCTCTAGTCCATCACAGGGACACATAGAGACAAAAGAGACCCATACCATACCAATTTATTTGTATAGCACTTAAAACAGCAACAAGGCCAACCAAAGTGCTGTACAAAAGAAAACAAACATGCACAGCAGACAGGAAAACATAAAATAGAAATACAGATACAAATAGCAGCAGAAGCTAACTAAAATGGCCAACAGAGTAGAGAACAGACCGGACCAAAACAAATCACAACGTGGTAAAGGCAAGCGAATAGAAGTGGGTCTTCAAGCGAGACTTAAAGACTGAGAGTGTGGGAGCCTGCCGGACACTCAGTGGCAACTCATTCCACAGTCGTGGACCTGCAACAGAGAAAGCCCTGTCACCCCTGAGCTTACGACGGGTTTCTGGGACTGAGAGAAGCATCTGGTCTGCTGACCTCAGAGAGCGCGGTGGGACATATGGCTGCAGAAGATCAGTGAGATAGGATGGGGCGGAACTGTTCAGTGATTTAAAAACATACATGAGAATTTTGAAATGGATCCGAAGGTGAATGGGTAGCCAGTGCAGGGAGGCCAAAACTGGCGTGATGTGCTCTCTATAGCCTGTACCAGTTAAAAATCGGGCTGCAGCATTTTGGACCAGTTGTAGACGAGCAATGGAGGACTGACTGATTCCAAACAGAAGTGAATTGCAGTAATCAAGCCTAGATGTTATGAAGGCGTGGATCACTGTCTCAAGGTTCTTCTTGGAGAGTATAGGCTTCAGCTTAGACAGCCGTCTCAGCTGAAAAAAACAGGATTTGACCATCATGTTTACGTGACAGTTGAGTTTTAAGGACGGGTCCATTATCACCCCCAGATTAGTCACCTTTTGTTTCTCTAGCGGGGCTAGAGAAACAAAAGGTCAATGTCATGGCATTCACTCTCACTCTCACCTAGAGACAATTTAGAGTTACCAATCAGCCTAACATGCATGTTTTTGGTCTGTGGGAGGAAACTGGAGTACCTGGAGAACACACACACATGCACGGAGAGAACATGCAGAAAGCCTAGAAAGGCACCCAGCCAGGATTTGAACCGGTGACCTTCTCACTGAGAGGCAGCAGCTCTACCAGCTCAGCCACCGTGCCGCTCCAATGAATGTTATGATAAAATAAAAACAATATAGTTATTGAAGCAGTTTGTGTTCTTACTGTGACCTCGTTTTATTAGTATCTTTATATCTTATCTTAGAGAAGGTTTTCACTTCAACCAGTTACACTTAATGTTGGTAATCTCTGCTGCAGTGTTTTTGTTTTTGTTTTTGGTTGGGTTAAAGAAATGAAACAACCTGTGAACATTCATGTCTGTAGACAACTCACAAACACCCCAGTGAAGGAGCTCAAAACGTTCAATAAGTGAAATGATAAAACCGATCGCTATAATAAATGAAACTAGCTCTGAGGAAACACCTGCCTCTTTGCAGGCAGAAGTTTTAAACAATCATTTTGCTCTCGGGACGTATGTTGAGAAGGACTCAGTAAATTAAAATTTAAACTCGGTATCTGTAAAAGTGACCAAGCTTTAGCCATTTTTGTATTTTCAGTGGTGATGGCCATCTTGAGTCAGGTTAACTTAAAACAGTTTTTCATTCAGTCATCAATTTCTGAGACTTTTAATCTACCATATTTTATGGCATATAAGTCACATTTATTATGTGTTTAACTAATGGTCAAAACAGCTTCATTTTGCCTGGGTGGTGTGGCACCATCCATCCATCCATCCATCCATTATCCATCCATCCATCATCCATCCATCCATCACGACCGGAGCCGCTAGCTCTCCAGTGTTCCTCCGCCTGCACCAGCTGAGTGAAGCGAGCGGACACGGGAGAACTCACTGTTGCAGTTCTTCAAAAGTTAAAGCATCAGTCAAAACTTGTGTTATGAATGTGGGGAAAAAAACGTATATAAGTCGCAGGACTGACAAATCTACGCAAAAAAACGGTGACTTATACACTGGAAAATACGGTAAGCTGTTCAGTGAAATGTTGTTAATAGACAGCCAACACGCTCGCAGACACATGCAGTTACACAACTGCTTTCCTTTAACAGCGTCTGCCAATAAATAAAATGCGCATTTTGTTTTGAGACCATGTTGGAACAAGGACTGCAGCATCACAGAAGAAAGACAACATAAGAATGAAGCACATTTGTTCAACATGTCCGTGTCTTAATCTATCAGCCCAGAAAACATTAATGAGCAAAAGAAAAATCAATTTTTACAGAACAATAAAATCTCTTTGGTTAAACATAATTCACTCTGAGAACTTTTATATGGGCAGTGACATAAGAGATTAAAAAAGTTAAGTCAGGTCATCTGGACAGATTCTTCTTTATTTCATCTGAAAGACTTCATCAGACCGAGGCCTGCCACAAACTCAGCCCTATAACAAGCAGCTTTTTAAAGTGGATCAAACCAGTCCGCTGGGGGCTTCCAGAGTCTTTCACATGCAGAAGGACCATCAGTGCAACAATCGTTCCTCAGAGGCCTAACTACAGATCCACTTTGAAAAGGTGCTATTTATGGGACTGGGTTTTGTCTCATGGCCTGAGACTGATGAAGTCTTTTGGATGGAAGACAAAATGTTTCAACAAGAAGAATCTGTCCAGAGTACCTGACTTAACTTTGCTGTGATTTATTCACCTGGAGGACTCAACATGCATCAGGACATAAAAGATACTAGAGAGTTAATGACGCCATATTGGCAGGAGGGAGTCTGAAGTTTGGCTGTAAATCGATTTAATGTGTGGGTTGTTTTGGCTTGTTGGTCCGGTCTGTGGGGGTGAACGAGTCATCTGAGACTTTGAACTGATCTGGTTCTCATCACATCTGCCTAAAATGTCAAAGAAAAGAGAATGCACAAAAGATAAATTTAACTTTCTGGCAACAATGTAGCTTACAGCTAACAAGTCATCTATGCTAAGAGCTTTCACACTAATGTTTTTCAGAGATCAGTGATCCTCTGCAGTCAGGTTTTCATTTCGTGCATCTTTTTATCATGGTACTGAAAACATAATTTAATGTCCGGATTTTGTGATTTGGATATTTGTGCTCATGAATGCAACACGTTTGAGGGAGAAAGGATCTTCTTTAAAACATGCCAGTGTCACGATCCTCAGTGTTGGAACCCAAATGCAGAGAGGCGAGCGAGGCAGGAGTTCAAAAACAAAAACAATTTATTTCAATAACAAAACAAAAAGCTGTCGGTGCAGCAAAACTTACTTGGGCAACAGGATCAGGAACAAGGCAGAGCAGATGATCAGGTGGACAAGAAACAGACAAGACAGAAGAGGACTGAGATGTCTGTAAACACAGAACAATCACCGGACAAAAAGTGAAGGAGAGACAGGCTTTTTTATGAGACAGAGGGAGAGTGAGTAACGAGAGCACCTGGGCAGGTGGCTGATGAGGGACAGGTGTGAATGATAAAGATTGAGTGGAGAGGCAGACTGAGGAGT